TTTTTTTTTTTTTTTTTTTTTTTTTTTTTTTTTTTTTTTTTTTTTTTTTGTAAATGGTATAAATTTTATATACTATAGCTTAATAATATCAAGTCAATTCAAAAGTATATTTATTTTTAAAATTTTGTAAACCTATTTTATTTTATTATAATTGAATGTTTTATTTATTTAATTTTTTTTTAATTTTATAATAACTTTTTGACATATTTTTGGCATTAATAATTTTGTTTAATCATGTAGTTTTTTAATTAATTTTCATTTTAAATTTAATTTTAACTACGCAGTTGTAGATGAAAAACAAATATTTTAAATTGTATTTCTTTATCAATTCTATTTTAATAAATTGCTCATGTGAGATATTATATTTAATTAATTTAATTGAATTTTAGTTCGATTCCAATTTAGCAATTTAGGTTTTAATAAATATTTAATTTATATCATTTCAAATATCAACAAGTTTTACTTCTTCATTAAGAATTTTATATTAGCAATTAGAAAATTTAGCTGCATTAAGCTTTATAGGCTTTATAAGACCGTTAACTACATATAACTTAATCAATTCTATCTAATTGCATATCAATTTGGCTTATGAAGTGTGAAAGATGATAAATACCCTTGTCCAGAGTCTCCATCAACAGCTAACTTAACATTTCTACTACAACTGCGTCTTCAGACTCAACGCCCAGCTCGTTACAGGTAAATTCAGGGGCGTGAAACGCTAAGCCGCAACGGCTACGTAGATGGGCTTGACAACATGCAGCAGCAGCAGCAGAAGCAACAACAACCGTAATAGCAACAGCAAGAGCAACAGCCGCAACAGCAAGAGCCGCAACAGCCCATAAACTGTTCGCTCAAACGACAATTTCCATTTGACAAAATTTCTATCTATTGGGTTTTTTGTTACACCTTACAATGATCTCGCAAGCAATGCTGCGGACCCCGTGCGGAGCGCCATGAAATTTCCCAACAATGGTTAGCACTCTGTCCCGCTGAGCGGAGAGACCGTGACGCTCTTGCCTCTTGCTCTTGCCTCTTGCCACATGCCTCATGCTGTGCTGTGAGCGGACCGAGTAGGCTTTGGCCGGGCCCTTGCCCTGAGCCCTGAGCCCAGTCGCTCTGGGTATCTCGCTCTGTGAGATGTGAAATTGTGTACGCACATTAATTTCTCATCATTGGCATTGGCATTGGCATTGGCATTGGCAGTGAGGGCTGGCCAAAAGCAGGGTAACTACCGCTGCGTATTAATGGAAACGTTATAGAAGATTAAAAGGTAAGCGGAGATACCAGACGGACAAAACAGACAAACGGACAAACGGCCAACAACAGCGAGGGCCACGTCCACGACAATTGCAACTGTTTTGTGATTTTAATGCGAATTTTTATGCTACGGCCATACAAATGCTATTTACGGTGTATTGGGTTGCACTTCACACACACACACACATTTACTCATGTACATAGCAACAATAACAGTTAGTTTTTGCCTAGGGTTTGCCTAACTACAAGGCGTGAGTCTACCTAAACTCGTCTCATTATGGTCATCTGATTGCTCGAGCAGATTTTTATAGGTTTTCCGGCTGCCTTTTGTGCGATGTTGCATGATTTTTCCCAAGGCAATCAATATCAGCTTTCAATTGTGCGCAATTGTTTTTAATTCTTTAGTTTATGAGGCATAAAATTATATTATCTTTTGGCGGGCAAAGGGAAGCTGCTGCAAACTGTTCTTCAGGTAAGGCATATTGGAGTAAAAATTAAATATTTTACAGTCATTTACAGATTATGTTACACATTCTCTTTACTTGTATACATATGTGCATATTT